TTTAATGGAAGGGGATGAATACATTTGGAACTACTACAAACTACTTCCTGGAGACCAAAATGGTTTTATTGGCTGCTCTATTCCTTTTCTCACATTCTGTTTAGAGACTTTCAGGTTTATGGTTCACTTTCCCCACCCACATTTTTTCAGCTGAAGTTGACCCAGAAACAGACCACCTTTTTTTTTTTAAACATCTAGACTGCAGCAGCCCCTTTTCACTGGCATTCCTGTCCAGGCTGAAAGCAATAATGGGATAAGCCTCAGTAAGAAGGTCAGGGGTCGGTGCCACAACGCCACAATGTAGTAAATATCATAAATAGTAACGCAAGAATAAAAAGTGAAGTGTAAATACGGCGTCTGTTTGTCTGTTTGAAAGCAAAGTCTGTCGCTTCACCTGCTTCCTGTTGTGGCCGCGCTTGAGGTCGAGGGGTTTGAAGTGGTTCGAGTGGGGAATCTGAACATCAACGAAGCTGAGAGTGGAGTCACACAGGCTTTAATCTGCTTACAGGAGGCTTCAGTCAGGCTAGAATGAGTTATTAATTCCTTTGTGTTTTCCTGTCTCAACCCAGTGCAAAGCTGCAAACAAGCCCTATAGTGAGATTTTCACTGACAGGATTAAGTGTGATCACTGTGCAATAATTTGGAATAGTTCACCGCAGGAACATGGCCTCCTCCCCCTCGAATTCAAACGGAAACGTCCTTCCGTTTGGTCGCAGGAGAGATTACATGAGCACCCTCTGTTGTTGTTTGTTGCGTAGTGAGTACAACAAGAAGAAATGAAAGGATGTTTCTGCATGAGTTTTTATTTAGCACTAATCCTCTGAAGTTTGGAGAGCATGACTCCACAGAAAATGTTGCTGTTTGGCTTTTAAGCTACACATTTGAGAGTACAGCAAGATGTCTTCTACTGTAGCTTTTCTTTGGATTTATGGATTTCCACGTTTTTATACAGAAAGCAGTGAGAGTGTTATATACTGTAAATACTCTCACTGCCTGAAGGGGGAGACACTGCAGGTTTAAGCAGTCAAGTCTCATTGATGGCGACCACCCCTTAAAATCGGAGTAGCTGCTCCAGACTTTGTCATGTGACGCAACAAAATCAACACATCATTGAACCTGAAAACACTTTGTTGGGTTGTCAGTGGCGGATTAAGTGGATTTACTGTCCTTACACTCGATGTCTTGGGTTTGCATTGCTATTATCGTATTGTCAAGCACTTTTGATGAGTCTGTGCAAGTAGTGTTACCTAAGAACACAAGTCTTTTCTTTCACTTTGATGCTCACTGCTGTTTAACCCTCTAAACCCAAAGCACTCTCCGGTCACATTGGTAGTTTCTGTGGGCTTGTTTTTGTACTGCAATATGAGGTCCTGCACCTAAACAGAGCAACCACAACTAGAAGTAGAGAGAACTTAAAAATCCATCCATCCATCCATTATCTATACACCGCTCACTAGGGTCGCACTTAGAGACAGACAGCCAAGCACACTCACATTCACACCTATAGACAATTTAGAATCACCAGTTAACCTCAACATGTTTCTGGCATGTGGGAGGAAGCCAGAGAACCCGGAGAGAACCCACACTGCACGGGGAGAACATGGAGACTCCACGCAGAAAGATCCTGGGTGTCCTCACCGGGACGCCAACCGGCGACCTCATAGCTGCGAGGCAACGGTGCTAACCACCGCTCCACCCTGCTGCTTCAATAATTCATTTCATTTTATATTCATTCCCATACGAGGCTTCACATGCTATGGTCTCTTGGTTGTTTGCTCTTTGCTCTGCCTAAACACAGCCTGCAGTTCAGCTCCCAAAAAGTCCCCAAATTCAAATTCATGTGAGCGTTGGTTGCAGCTGAGTCACAAAGTCACCGCTTCCTGTTTTTACATTTTCTTGATATGAAAAAATAGGCGTGATTCCGACTGATTTCCACAAAGATAATGCGACTTTCAAACCGGCTGGCAGGTTTAGAGGTTTTTTGGGGTTGATTGCGATGATGGGCTGCAAACGAATGTGTAAACTAAAATACTTTCTAACACCTCACGCTTAATAAAAGATGTGCTGTTGTTCCACATTGTGACATTTTCATTACTTAATGCAATGAAAGGAAGTTGATATTGTGTAATTGAGGCATTCTTAGGGAGATTCTCCATTACTATTATCTTAGAACGTCTTTAATTACCACATACCACGACTGTACTGGCATCTTCCCCATTGATCGGAACAAAGGAACATGTTGTACTCGCAGCGCTCACAGGGGCACCGAGTCATCCTGGTGTGAACAAACAACAGGGTCTCAACGTGACAGTAGACGGGCACCACAGGATCAGTTATTATTGCGTACCGTTCTACAAGAAGACTCGTGTCACAATTTGTAAGTCACAGCTCTCAGAATCTGACAGAGCAAAGGGAATTGTGCATCGTGGTATTAATGTGGTTTTAGACGCATCTTGTGTTGTCAGATGCGATACACTCGAACAGACAGCGTTTTAATCTCCTCAGTCTATGTTTTCAGGATCCCTCCTCCTTCCTCCGTTATTTCCTGTTCCTCAGCCTGCCCGTCTCTGCATTCTGCAGTGCTGGCATGTGTTGTTCTTTTATTTTTTGTGTGTTTCTTTTAGATATCTTTTCTGTCCAACAGAGGGCGCTCTTGCTGCTGCTTTCAAAGTCAGGAGGAGGAATGTGAGGCAGTGGCACAGTGATGTCATTTAGCAGCAAGGCTGGGCTGCGCTGGAGGCACCCAGAGGTGACGACGGCGAGGGCAGTGGGTGATTCCTCACGTTCCTCCCGCCTGACGTGAGATTCCGCAGATTCCCCCCCCGATCCCTGGATTTGACCTTCCGTACGCCGAGCCGTATTAAAGTTAAACTGCAACCCACGTGGCGCAGTGTAGTCAGCAGTTTTCATCTCCCCGCTGTAGTTCAGACAGACAGATTTGTGGTCGTTTTCCATACGTAGCTCAGCCGCTGTTTTGGAGTCGCACCACAGTGACACCCGGCAAGATGCAGGAAATCACTTTTGCTGCTAGCTGACACCAGACACAAAGTGCTGACTGTCTCTGGTATATTGGACCAGTTTCTTTTTCTTTTTTTAAAGCCATAGCTCTGAGAGAGAGACAGAGATGAAGAGATGAAAGTGGCAACAGAGTCCCAGAGTCCCACAGCAGTCCACACTTCCCGTCTACCACCCGGCTCCGACACACACAGTGGTGTTAGTTACTCTTGCATAAGCGCAGCGGAGGTTTTAAAATGTCTGTAGCATCAGGTCACACCCTCCTCGTGACTTGTTTATTTCCCTTCTCCTTTTATCCGCTCTGGTTCTTTGCTTACTTGTTGTTTGTCTATTTTTGTCTTTCTCCATTCATTTTTTTTTTTCTTTTTTTCCATTTGTCCTCTTTTCGTCTGTGGGTATCCAGTTCTGTTTGCCTCCATAATTGTGTCTTTTTGCTGTTTTGTGCCTTTGTTCTTGTTCCCTTCGTCACTCTGTCAGCCTTCCTCTCTCTCTTTTCCTTCTCACTATCTCCTTCTCATCAGTCATTTCAAAGCTGTCGCTGGAAATGGGACTGAGGCAGACAGCAGCAGAAGGAGAGATGGGAAGGACCAGAGTTTTTCAGGACAAGCTGAGACGCTGAAAGATTCAACAGCATCCTTGAAATCTAGTAGACTATAATACACATGCATATATACATATAAACGACCGTCATCTTTGTGTGTCGGTAATGTTCTGTATTCCGGTGGATGGTTTTATTTTCATTGCACCACCGTGTTGGGTTAATGATGGTCTTATCAGAGTTACGTCTGGGGCTAGTGTTCCCCAGCATTTTGTGGGCTTCTTTGTTTGCTTTTCATCCGTGGATGTGATGGATGTTGCTCATCCCGAGTAGGAAAGATAAACGAGGATGGTGCTGCTTAGACTTTGGATCAGAACGCTGAGATTGGATCCTGGAATGAAACCAGCTTGCTAACTGTATATTGGCTCACTAAGCAGAGAATCTGATCAAAAAAACAGCGTTATCATATCTTGGGAAGGACTGTGATTTACTTACATACAGATATCAGAAACACAGAAGGAATCTTGTTTTTTGGTGCTCATGTCTTGATGTGCAGCCGCCGTCATTTATCACATTGTGATGTTATCAGTAATGGGCAATGAATGGATCACAAAACTCACAATCTGGATTGCGCAGCGGCTTTTGAGTGATGGATTGGGTCATTTTTCAGATCGGGGGGGTAGGCAGCCATGATTGTCACTGTCAGCTGCCCCGGTCATGTAAACACTAAACTGCGTTGTATCTGTCACTGCAACTCTGCCCTGCATGGAGATCTAGGGGATTCCTCGCCAAGGCGGAGGTCTGCCGTCAGTGCCATTTGTGTTTTGGATCACTTGCTTTATAATTGCGAGATAGGACATTGGTCTCGGACTGTGCTCTCCCAGTGCCTTTCTAGTAACTTTAAAGAGCTGCAGTGGCAGTAAGAATGCATTTCAATATGCGATGTTAAACCCTGGAATTCATCTGTGGTTCACATGGGCGCCAAACTCTGGGTGGGGATCTGTACGGATCAACTACGGTCAATTACATCAGTTATCGATGCAATCAGTAACAGCAATGTGAGTGAGCTAATGACCATTATTATCACTGAATCCCTGTCAAAGTGCCCTTGAACAAAACCACCAACGGATCCAGTATGGCTTCTTTAGAACAGATACTCTCATACCAAAATTAATAAGCTGAAAAAATGTCAGCATCATTGTAGGTAATCATGACTGGTGGTTGTTTTATTTCTTCTTTTTTTTTGCAGTCTGAATACCACAACTGTTTAAAAACATGGTTTTAGTTTGTCAACCAGAGACTGCTCCTCATACAACTGCTCACTGTAATTATCAGACATCTATGTTTGGAAAGTGACTCATTTGGCTCTTAAGGAAATTACATCTGCTCATATTGGATGTCAGTCAAGTCTTTCTCTCAACATGTCCATCGATTTTCCTCCCCGCAGGGCTTCCTGATCGGCGCTCGCCCAGAAAACGCATGCGAGCCCATCGAGCCGCCTCCGAGGGACAACTTGACGGGCGCCTTCATCGTCCTCATCAAGCGGTTCGACTGCAACTTTGACATCAAGGTACAGAGGTTAAACTGTCTGGTTGGGTGTGTGTAGTCGTTACAGGTGAAAGTGCTCGCTGACTCAACCACATCTTAGGAATCCCAAACACCTCCCGCAGGTTTAAACTACATGTTATTTTTGAAGCATATACACAAGTTTTAGCAGTCTGTCAACTGTAATGAAAGAGTTGTTGAAACTCCAAGTACCTTTAACTACCTGTCTGTCATGTATCAGGGAACTTAACCCAATCTGTGGTTAAAATCAGGATGTTTCTCTAAAACCATCTTATCCTACGTTCTAAGACAGGGGTATTCAAGTTAAAGTCACTGAGGTCCAGTTATTAAAATTTCCTCGAAGTAAAAGGTCCGAACCGAAGTCCAGTTCGTGTCTTATAGCCTTCCCCTATGGCCACAATACTTACTGTCAATTTTCAGTACAAGATGTGTATAACTGAGTGCACAGCTAGCTCTTTTACCATAAATATAAGTAGTCCCAGGCCAAAAAAAAATAAGGCCTTTATTTCAGATTAGAGAAAACAAAAACCTCAGAATAAAATACATTTTAAACAGTGCAAACAGAGCCCAATAACCCTTTTATCTCTTTAATTAAAGAGGTCCCAGCCTAAAGAACTGAATGCCTCCACTTCAAGTTAAAAAGTCAACATCCTCAGGAAACAATACATAAAAGGTTTCGTTTGCATGTTGCTGGGCTGTAAATGTGCTGATGAGTCAGATTAATCTGTCATACTGGGCTTTCAGATCGGTTATTTTGCCCTCAGCTCGGACTTCAGGGGATAACTTTGCTCAAAGCTGTGCTTTGTTTCGTAGTGGCGCCTCACGATGCTACTTTGAATTAATGCCACGTTTTCAGAGCATATGAGGCACACTGGTTGCCTGATGGAAGACTGAACATACATTTCTCTGTCCACTCATCTTCAAAGCAGCAGTCGTCCTCATCAACCTTCAATCTTTTGGAGCAAGCCATGCTATCATCACCGTCTCTTCCTCTCTGCTCTGCTGTATAGACAAGCGCAAAGTGGCAGCGAGCTGTGGCGGTGTGCTGGCCGTGCAGGGTAACGAAACGATTTGATTGGCTCGACTGAGTGGAGCTATTGCCGTATTAACTGGAGTAGCAGTGCTCGTCGGAAAAAAATATTTCATACGCTTCATACATTTTACACACGTTTTTTTCCCCATGCACGTTTATAACATCATATCTCCGGTTTTACGTGGTCTATCGACATGAAACAAAAACTTGGAGAGAGTTTAAAGTCTGCACTTTCGAGTGAAGTTGACAGCATCACTGTGCGTGCGCTAGTTTTTCTGCTGTGATGTCTCATAAATGTCACATGATTACATCACGCCGGCGTGACGGCGGACCTCTAAGGGTTAATCAACTCAAAACATCTCCAGGTTTAATGAAAGCGTAAAAATTTTATCTTTACATGTACGTATTCTTTACTTTGTAGACACTCCCATATCCAGTTTTATTCTAAATGAAAGCGACTGTGACCTAAACTGTGTGCAGCATTGTTGGTGCAAATGAATTACGGCCGTTTTGTCTCACTAATAAGCTTTCGTTGAGTGCGAGTCTGCTTCGTGTAAATTGTGGGTGCTGATTTATTGCAGAGAAACACCTGGAGGTAATCAGAAACAATTTATTTCAGCAGCTGTTAATTTATCAAGGCACGCTTCCAAAACTAGAACTGTGTGTGTGCGCACGCGTGTGTGAAGTATTACAAACACCGCGCGTTGCTTTGTGTCAGCACATGGTGGTTCAGAGATAGTTTAAGCTCTTAGATCAGCTTGTTGAAGCAGGAAAACAGGAAGTGGCCATTTCCCTAAACACAATTTCCTGCATGAGCATTTATCCCATTTTACCGCCTCTCTTTCTTTTCCTCGCGTGGTTTTTTTGTGTGTGATTTTTTGCGTGTGCTTGTTGAGATGAAAAGCGGCTGAAAGATGGGAGAGAGCTGATCTCCGTTAGAGAAGTGGAGCGTCCATAAGGAGGTGGTGAAGGCAGCGTAAGTGTGTGTGTTCAACACTGGAGAGGAAGAGATGGATGCTGACAGGAGGGTGAGGGAGGAGTAGAGAAGGAAGCATGTCTGTAAAAATGACATGTCAGTTTTAAAATTAAGAAAAAAGCAGCTTCTAATCTGACAGCATCTGAACGTGTCTGAATGAGCACCCTGATCACTCCTCTGTTATGGTCACGACCGCAGTCTTACGAGGTTCGGCGTAGTGACATTTGCACATCGCTATCAACACGGCGCAAGTCTGAACTACAGGACGCTGCATTAACCAATAGGCAGGCACAGGATTACGATCCACTTCAAGTTGTGTGAAACCTTCCATGGAAGGTTTTACCGCCAGTACTCGTCTGAAAACATCACTATGTTATTAATTATGTTACGAGCTATTATATATTCTGAATTTGTATTTTTCCACTGAACCAATGATCCTGTTTTGCTTTTTTTCTACTGAGCACAGTGCACGTCCTTGAAGATAACATGGCCGATAATTACTGGTTCACATATTGGGAGACAGCGGAAACTCCTCTTTTCTATCAGTTACTTTAGATAAACGCCTTTTGGACAACACACACACACACACACATACACTTTGTATTCGATCCAAGCAGTTTCTGTTTACATTTCAGTGAACTTCCACATGAACAGTGGTTAGCCTGTTCACGTCACAGTAACCGGCCAATTAAACTCGGTCCAACCTCTGACTGTACTGTACGGGGCAATCCCAGCCCAAGAAGATATCTGTAACCTGAACCCAGAAAAACTCACTTCAGCTGGACATGAGATTGCTCTCTGTCCCTCTGAATTCCAGCGCCGCCTCACTTTACCTGTCACCTAAATAAATTCTACATCTGAGAACTGAAGATTTCTCCGGTTTGTTTTGGGCTTCCAACTAAAGAATCGGGTCTAATAGCTATTTGCGGCCAAAATCACAAAGCACCTTTCTTGCTCTCAGATTTCACATCTATTGGCGGCTGTGGCTCAGGTGGTAGAGCGGTTGTCCTCCGATCATAAGGTTGGCAGTTCGATCCCCTCCACAGTCGGCGTGTCCTTGGGCAAGACACTGAACCTGAAGTTGCTCCCGGCACTTTGCACGGCAGTTCTGTCGCCATTGGTGTATGAATGTGTGTGAATGAGTGAATAAGAAACACATTGTAAAGCGCTTTGAGTGCTGCTAAGGTAGAAAAGCGCTACATAAGTGCAGACCATTTACCATTTATTACCCACTGAAGTGTCCTTAGAAGTAAAACTTAACTGCGATAAAGGCGGTAACAAGACTCACTAATAAATGTAATCTGGGTTTTGAACGTTTGTTGCTGAAGTTTGTTGCTTCCAGCTGTTTCTAGGATTCTTTCCTCTAATTGTTAACGTGACAAAGTTGCTGTAGTTAAACAAAAACTGTCTTGTGCAGCACGCGTGTATGTCTGGAGAAAGTAATGAGAAGCATGAACATAAATGCGATCTAAGTTCGAATGGCAGCATGCTGTCACTTTAACGGATCCATGAAGCCAGAACCGTTGTGTAATCCGTGCCTCACGAGAGCTTAACTAAACTATGCAAATTCACTTGCGCCGATTATAAATTAACCCAGGAACTGAGCTCGGTTGAACTTGGGGTGACGTCTGAAACATTGATGATTGATTTCTTGTTACAAAATTCGTCGTAAAACCTTTTTTCATAAACGGCAGACATCCTGAATTTTTGCCGGATGCGTCACCAGAGAGCACATTAAGATTTACAAATATAAAAGCTTCATGTTTTGTCTGAAACATTGGATAAGTTAAGGGAAAGAACTGGCAAGAAACAAATCTGAGTTGTACCATTAATGCTGCTCGTTCTGTTAACTCCTAAGGATGATTTGTGCCATAAAAAATAAAGATTTTGCCACTTTAGCCTTAAGAAAACAGAAGTGTCCTTATGTAGGAAACACTGGATAAATGCTAACTCTAGTGTGTCTTAACCCTGTTGCTCGTGGATTCAAAGTAAAACAACGGAAGGAATGGAAAAGGAGAGGGAAGAAGGGAGGCAGATATGAGAGGAAAAAAGAGATGGGATTAAAAGAGTGAGAGCAGGGATGAATAATGGGGTTAAGGAGAGGAAAGCATGCAGCCTCTTGGCATCTCTCTCTAATGCATCTTTCCATCTCCCACTTTCTTCTCCAGTGTTACCTTTTCCTCTGCTTCACTCCGTTTTTACTGCCTGCTTTCCTCCACTATTCCTCCAAATCTCACATTTCCGGTTTTCTCCCTTTTTCAATCTTTTTTTTTTTCTAAATTTGCCGTCTCGCTCTTTCCGTCAGTCTCTCCCTCTAGCTCTCTTTTTTTTTTTCTTCTCTCTCTCTCCGTTGTAACTGTGGAGCAGCCATATGGCCTTATAAGGTCTGACTGCATCACACACAGGAACATGTTGACAGACAGGGCGGTGAGGTGTTCCCTGGGCTGGAGTGTAACCAGACTCCACATAGCTGTGTGTCACACAGACACACACCATATGTACACAACACACACATCCCGAGAGCCGTGTCAGATTTGCCATTTAACCTCCTGCAGCCCTCCGAAAAGCAGCTTTGACTTGAAAGTTTGCTGTGATTTTTTAAAATTTCTTTTTCCTGTTGCTGGGCTCTGCTGGCGTTTTAACCCTACGGCAGTCGTACCTGCGGGTTTTGACATTTAGACCAAATTAATGAGTTGTTTTATTTGGCTGTCGAGTAAAAATGCCAAACACCTGAAGGAGAACATGGGTGATTAGTTTTTCTTATTATCACGTTATGAAGATATACTCTTTCTGGCATTTGTCTTTATTGTGGAGCTGTCACATGTTTCACAGCTTTTTCTAGCTCAGTTAAAACGAGTATTTCCTTAAAGTCACAGAAAGTTCACGTCTGTTGCCAGGAGGAATAATGTATTTGTCCTCCTGCTTCTTTTGTTTACGTATTATTGTCAGTCAGCGTTTTTTTAAAGAGGGGTTTTGCAGCAGCAGATAGACAACA